TATATTTGACAAGCAGTCAATTGGATTCACCCAAGGCTGTAGGCGTTGTTGAAATTTAACCGCTATATTGCAATAGAAGGTATTTAGTGCATCCGGGGAAGCAGGAGGAGTGGAAACAGGGCAATGAGAGTGTTTTTGACGCATATCGTTTATAATATTCCAACATTCCTTTTGCGAATTCTGGCAGCTGCTCAGATTTAAAGCGACGGACAATAAAATATTCATTGAAGCCTGGAGATGATGTACGTTTTCTAATCACATGGAGTGAGTGAAGATTTTTTGAAGAAATAGTTAGATCCTTAGTAAACCAGGTTTTTGTTGGACTGTGTTTTGGGTTAATTTTCGTAATAGGAAAAGTTGTGTTAAACAGGCCCACTATCTTCGTATGGAAGGTGAATATTAGATCCTCTGCTTCGAGTATGTAGAGGCGCACAAATTGTGGAATCTATTAGAGTTTTTGCTGCTAAAAATTCGGCCACTCCGTTCTGAAGATCTAATCTGTTTCTTGGATTCTAGAACATTGAAAAGAATTGCGTCATGATCGGATAATGCTGCATTTTCGACCGTACAACTAATAAGCTCGAACAGAAATTAAAACACATGTAGTTAATGGTGCTAGATGAATATCGAGTAATACGCGTCAGCGATTTAACATGCATTTGTAAGTTATGAGAGTCAATTAAATGACTCAAGCCCATTGTACAGGCTTTCATCGAAATTTATATTAAGATCTCCGGCTAGAATTATACAGACAGAGCTTGAGATATTAGACAGGATTTCATCTAACCCTGTAAGGAGCACATCACTATCATTAGATGAGGGTGAGCGATACACACAGATAATGTATAAATTTCGGGATTTAGATAAAACTATGACAAACTCAAACGTAACTTTCTGCAATAAGTAATTAAATTTCGTTATCGATTGAAAAGAGTTCTGTTTTAAGAAAATTTCATTAAATAAAATCATACAGCCGCCATGTATATTGTATAGACTGAGTTCTACAAAACCACGTAATCCGACATTTAAAACAGTTCATCCTGCCTCAACCAATAAAACAAAACTATATTTGGCAAGTTGAAATCCTGTAAAAAGAGGGAGAGTTTATTAGTTTTATTCCTTAACGATTGACTCTTTACTGTCCGCCCAAGTTAAGAACACCGGTTAAAAAAATGTGAAGAATTTAAGTTCATAAAAAACATAGTTGTCACGTAGACTAACTACAAAAAAATAAGGCGTTTAATAATTGTTATTTGTTAACAATTATCAAACGCCTCATTTTTTTGTAGTGAGTGTACGTGACAACTATGTTTTCTATGAACTTAAATTCTTCAAATTCTTGTAACCAGTGTTCTTATCTTGGGCGGACAGTAGTAGCATCGCTGAAAAAATAAATTCACTGTGGCCTCCCTTCTGGGCTGGTCTAAAAAAGTGTTGGTGTTTGACACATGTGGCTGGCTGTTCCTGTTCAAAACTCAGCATTGGCATCTCAAGAGAATCTTCTTTCTCAGCAGTAGAGGAAGCTTTAGAATTCAGTGCATTAGCTCTGTTTACATCAGAAATTGACGCCACATCATTCAGGATAAAGCGCAGTATACTTAATATTCTGCTAAAAAGTTTTTTTTGAATAGGGCCCGGTGAAGTCAGTGGCACAAACTTTGCATTGGAAACAGTTCTCAATCCAAAAATTCTGCGCAGCAGTCGTTTTGTTCAGAACCGGTCGGTGAAGGTTTGCAGGTGGATTAGATGCTATTTCTATTAACTCTCGCCGCTCCAAAATAATTTTAAAACTTGGGATCCCAGAACAGGGTCAATATGGACCCAGATACAAACTTTTTTTTTGAGTGATTTTGAATATAAAATTTTGGGAATCATAATAAAACATGTTATTGTATTATGCTTTAATTTAAAAAAAAACAACAAAATAAACTTTTTATTCATAAGATAAGTAGATAGTAAACTGAAGGACAAAAGCTAGAAATTCCGAAAAGACGTAAAAAGAGCTTGCTACGACTTGTCGAGTTGGAGGATTTCAGGGTATACCGATTTATCCCAAAACCGGGTCATTGGTGACCCATAGAAAGTCATCAAAAAAAAAAATCATACAAAAGGCAATATTCTTGACATAAATTAGGAGAATTCACAGAAGATCTCTGAAAAAAAGTCGCGGGGCAGCAAGATATTCCTGGAAAATCAGATTTTCGGTAAGGCGAGGGTTAAAGGGGGTGTGCGCCAAATAAACAACTTTTAATCTAAAAAAAAAAGAAAAAAAATTTAAAGCCTAGTCTAGACCTACATACAGGCTGTTTTTTTATATATTGACACCCTACTTTTGCCTTTTTCTTTACAGGTAGAAGAAAGGTGTAAATACAAAAGTTGCAGTTTTGGCCAAATTTTTAGAATCCATGGTCAGAAACAAAAATTGAATGTCAGAAATGTGAAATATTGCATGCTTTCAGCTTTTTTCAAATCGGATGCCCTTTATTTGGTTCTATATTCTTGAAAAGCACAATAATTTCCCGATTCCAAAAATATATAGTTTATCTATATTTGGTTGAGCCGACTCGAACATAACGTCGTTAATTTCACGAAGTGATGTATCTCAAAAAAACCCTGATTTGAGATATGTCACTTTGTGAAATTAACGACGATATTTGGTTCCAAAAATTTTGAAAATACCATCGGAGAAACCAAGTACTTACCTCAAATTTTACCTGCAGCTTTCACCTGTACAGGTAGAACAGGTAGAATGGTTCACAAAATCAGATAGTAGGATATTTTTACAATTTTTGTAGCCGAATATATAAGAGACTGCTCAACCAAAAATATAGAAAAACTACATATTTTTAGAATCGGGGCATTGTGCTCTTCAAGAATTTAGAACCAAATATAGGGCATCCCATTTGAAAAAAGCTGAAAGCATGCAAAATTTCACATTCCTGACACTCAATTTTTGTTTCTGACCATGGATTCTAAAAATTTAGCCAAATCTGTACAATTTTTGTATTAACGCCTTTCTTTTACCTGTAAAGGTAAAGGCTGTAGGTGGGGTGTCAATTTATAAAAAAAACACCCTGTACATTTGCCCGCCAACATTCAAAAATGTATATAAAAACTGTTTAAAATGTGTACACACGTGTATAAATGTTTTGTTTATTGGCAAATGTTTCCAAACATTTGTTTGTGGGCAGTGTATGTAGATCTGGACTAAAAAATTTCTAATGCATGGGCTACGTAAATAAGGATGTGTATATCTATAGTAAATCAAATCAAATCAAATTATGCTTTATTGTCTTAACTAAATTGTCATTGACAAAGCAGCCTTATTAACTAACATCACTACTTACTATGTCATAATCATAACATGTGAAAAAAAAAAATCCTACAACTGCCTCTGAAAATGATTTTTTTGCACGGCGTGCGAAAAAGTTTTTCACACGCTGCTAATTAATTTTTTCTTTTATTTTGGTCTTGTCATCCTGACATGACAACATAAATAACGATAGTCACCAATTTCTGATGTTGATGATTTGTTTTCTAACAAATAAAAATTACATATTTGGTTGTTTTATTTTGCAGTTGAAGGAAAAGCATTGTAAAAAACTCGTTTGAAATAGTTATTTTCCTAACAAGTGCGCAAAGTGATACTTTCCCGCACGAAAAAGCAGTTAGACGAATGACGCGAAGCGGAGTTCGGATAAGCTTTGAGTGCGGGAAAGACACTTTGCGCAAGTGTTTAGGAACAATACTTTTTCTACGAGTGTTTGAGATTTGCATCCAGAAGAGCTGTACCTAATCTTCTTAAATGTTTCCAGATGCTCAAAATTGGTAATTTTCTCTCCTAGATCAATGTGTTGTGTTTTCAATTTTTTTTTCAGTGATCAGCTTGACTTTATTTGCAACATTGGTTGTGCTAGCGAGGTTTACTCAAAATTTGAACATGTTTGTTTTTCCTACCAAATTTTGGTATGGAGGAGTATAATTTACAGACCAACTTTTATATTCTGATATTCCAAAAGAATGTGAGTTGGTGGCTCTTCATACCAATGGTCACCTGTCCTCACATTTGTTTTTGCTGGATTTTTCCTCCCCTCACTCATACGGAAAGTGTCAAATTAAAAAAGCTAAACATTACCTGAATGCCTTTATTGGAACAAAAATAACATCAAGCCCTTCTTTCTGAATATAAGTTTATCCAGAACATTGAAAAATCGATAATAAATGCGGTAACTATGCGTAACAAAAATGAGTGCGCAAAGTTCAACTTTGCGCACGCAAATGAGTGTGCAAAGTAATAACTTTGCGCACGATTTTTTTCACACCCGCTCGACTTATGGAACTCGCCTACGGCTCGTTCCAACAAACTGTCTCGCCGTGTGAAAAAAATCGTTTTTAACACTTGTTGTTTAAATAACTATTGAAATGCCTTAATTACTCATTACAACAATACTGTTCCTGTCAGTATACCATTATTATTTCCTTAAAAACTAAAAATCAGTCGTTATTAAAAAATGAAACAAAAAAAAAAAAATGAATTCAGAAGTTTGAGCAAAAAAACAAATAAACAGAACAATCCAGAAAAAAAAACCAAAATCTAAAACCTGTCCGTCAGAAATTCGTCAATTTCGTAAATATGTCTTTTGATTGAGCAAGCAGCGCCATGACCCCTTTACGGAAATGTCGTTCAGTCTTTATTTGTTTAAGACCCGTCGGCAAATGATTGAAGAATTTGTGACTTTTGAAAATGATAAGAGTCTCTTACCTGGATGGAAGTGGGTATGGGAAGGCTAACATTATTTTTCTGTCGAGTATTATAGGTTGTATGCGATATGACTGTACTGCTTTTGTGTTTCCTTTCAATTAAGCAGACCGATTCTAACACAAATAGTGCAGGAAGAGTCAAAATAGTTATATACTTACCCCACTTACTTTCAACTCATGATTAATAGCCTACATTTCAATAATATGCTCATTTAATTAAAATACTATTTTTCTTTCAGATATCGCTTAAACAACAACAACGTCAGCAAAGACTCGAAGAAAACAAACGTCGAGTGGAAGAAATCAGAAGCCGCGTCCCTGTTAATCGCGGTGAACGACGAGACCGCAACTTTCGGAGACGTTAACTTCCGCAATAATGTTTCCTTTTTTTTGTAGATAAAATGCGGTTATCGTGTGGCTCTTGCAAGCATGAGAGAATGAATGAAATTTTTTGTTTTTCTTAATCAATTCTCATCTTCAGTTTCTTATTGTTTTTTTTTTCTTTTTGAGCTATAACTTTTTTTGAAATGGCATAATTGGGGATTTTAATTTCTAATTCTTTACAATAACTTAGGGTAAGTATCAAGTTATAGCTCCTCGGAAAAAGGGTGAATGTAAGGGCGAGACTGAGTCCAATGTAACCTAAGATTTTTATAGGATTTCAGTTTTTCTTCCCCCGGTGGATTTTCGTCGATGTTGGAGCTGCTTGGAACAAAATTGCAGGTTTTTTGTTTCTATTTATTGTACTGTCGGGGTGATTTTTTTACATTGTCCGGTTTGCTCCCATTATTTTGTAAGGTAAATAATTAATTAGAAATGGTCAGATAATGAATATAGACTAAAACTGAAAAACTGTTTTTTTTTTGTCACTAACCTTGGAAATGTCCGCCACTAATAATTTTCCAGAAATGTTGTTTTTATCAACGTCACCACAGGTAGTTTCCGATTTGAAACAAAAATCTTTAACTTAAAATGTAGCTTGAAATGTTTTCAATGCTATCTTTATTGTGCTCCATAGTCAAAACCTTTCGACAGCCTCTACAAAGCAGTGAAAGGAGTAGGGGGTCAATAAAAAACTCACTATTGATTGCTAAATCTATATTACAATATTTTTGCAATATAATAATATAATATTGTGCAGTTAATATTTCAGTTAAAGTCGCCAAGAAAGAAAGGACGCTGGTAGCTAAATATAATACTTCCAAACATCTATCAGTTGAAAAATACACAGATGATCCTTCAATCAAAAATCATCCTGTATAAATAAATAGAACAATACTTACCCTAAAAATAAACAAATTAATTCCTATTTACAATTAATAATAATTAAAATCAAAATTCAAAATATCCTTATCATATTTGGGGGTGAACTACATACATTCCACAATATTAATAGTCTACTAAGAAACGACAAAAAAAAATCATTTTGGTATGGAATGTGCAACCTTTATGAAGAAGTAAATTAACCAAATTGGAAGGAAAATCCACTAGGCAAGTTCCCAAAGCTAAATTCACCAGGATTTCCTGCAGGGCCAGTGAAAAAAGTCTGGAAGACGTGTGATGGATCTATGTCTACAAAAAAAAGTATGCAATTAGGTCTCTATCTTAAGACCCAGTCATAATAAATGAAATTGACTATCTTGCGTATAGAAACCGATTTTTTCAAAAAAAAAAAAAAACAAATATCTAAATGGTTTCCAAAAATCTTCAATCTTCAAAAAATTTTAGAGTGACTTCTAAAAATGATGAGCTCTAAAAAGGGGCACTTATTTTAAAATGCTTTTGACTTTAGTGTAACTTTAAGGACATAAAAATTTCGGATTTTGGAAAAATTGATAAAATTGAAATCACTCTAGGTATATACCTACTGTATAGGTATAAAACATCTGTTAAAAAACGCTCCCAAAATTAAGGACTTTTCAAATAACAGGGAGGATATTCAATATAAAAAAAAGGTGAAATCAGTAAATTTATTGTGTTTAACATCATAGTCAACCATTGAAAATGCTAGAATATTAGGTTTTGTGGCCTTTTATAGGACCAAAAAAAATCTCAATTTACTCCTCCTTACCTGACATGCCACCATCAAAATCTTCCATATCCTGACCGCTATCGTACCGCGTTTTCTTTTTAGGATCGGACAAAATCCCATAAGCCTCGCCCAACTCTTTGAACTTCTTTTCTTGTTCCTTTTTCTCCGCATCACTAGCATTTGAGTGCCTATCGGGATGATGAATCAAGGCGCGTTTTCTGTAAGCCTTCTTGATATCATCTTCAGTAGCGCTACGCTCAACGCCGAGTATTTTATAATAGTCTTTTCGTTTGCTTTTTTTCAGGGCCAATTTGGCTTCTTGCAGCAATCTTTTGTTTTCGCGGCTTTTTTCCATTTTTGCGGCTTTTTCATAATCCTTGACAGCTTCTTCAAAGTCTTCAGTGTCCATGTAACATTTGGCTCGTCGCAAGAGAGCTTTTAGGTAAGTATCATCTAATTTCAGTGCTGCAGTACAATCCGCAATGGCTTCCCTTAACTTAATCAGTCTGGATAGGGCAGTGGCTCTGTTGAAATATAATTTAGCATTAGTCTTTTTGTTCAAAGGATCAATTTCTAAAGCTTCAGTGTAGACTTTAACAGCATCTTGAAACTTGCACACTTTGAACAGTTCGTTGCCTTCTTCTTTTTTCTTTTTCAATTGCTTGGCCCGTTTGTATTGCTCCATTGCTTTTGCATGATCAGGAGCAAGTCTCAATACTTGTTGAAAATGGCTGAAAGCCTTATCAATGTTGTCTTCGCAGTACAAGCATAATCCTCTCACATAAATGGCGTCAGCACTGCCCTTGTTGAAATGTAAAATGTCATTAGCGATTTCCTGGGATTCTTGGTAACGTCCCAAAAAGGCCAAACACTCTGCTTTCATGAGTTTGTATTTTTCACAAGCCGGAGATATATCCAGACATCTGTCCATACAATAAACCACCTTTCGGAAGTCTTTAGCGTGGTAAGCTTTAGTAGCATCAGCTTCATGTTGCTTCAGGGTCAATATTGTTCTTAATTCGTTGGCAACTGAGCCAACTTGAAGCAGTTCAGCTTGTTTGGCTGCTGTCTCAGCTGTAACTATATCGCCCAGAGCTAGAGCACATTTAACAATACGAGTATAGCTAAAAATAAGAATGTGTACATTTAGAACATATGATCGAAGGTATTATTACCCTTTAACAAAAGTAGGATCCAGTTGAATGCTTTTTCTAGCATCCTCCATGGCCTCTCTGTAACGGTTGAGCATCATGTAGCAGGCAGCACGGTTGCCATAGTAGGCAGAAGCTTCAGGGGCAAGGTTTATAGCTTCAGAGTAAAGAGAGAGAGCTGATCGATATTGTTTGATTTTGAAAAGTTGATTCCCGTTTTCCTTTTTCAATTCAGCCATTCTGGAAATGATAGAGAGGTGATTGACGAACATTTCTTCCAGAGATTATGCATGAGTAATGGGTGTTAGAAAAGTGTGGCAACAGTGTATGTATTGTTACATAAAGGATTTTTTAGCAAGCAGCCGTTTGTAATCGTGTTATCAAGATCTATTTATAACCTAAATTTCCCAGTTATAACACCAGCTAGCTCAAAAATATAATGATAAAGAAAGTAGTACTTACTAAACATGGGTCTCTTGGACCTAGGCATTGTTCTCAGCAGAAGGAATCAATAAAAGTCAGGTTCAAAACAAAGGACAATATTTAATTACCAAACCTATGTAGCTTTGGGCAATAGATAACAGGTAACAGTTGAAATGTAAATAAATGTATAACAATAATAATCGACATCAAAATATTACACTAAATAATAAAGTCGTGTTCACATAAGGTCAACGTATTGATTACATAAGGGCAATTAATCAATTACGCTAGACATTTAAACTTTAATTATAAATATGCAAAATCATCCCCTAAAATACCATGGTATACCAGACGCAAGACGATTATATTTATAGCATGACAATGCCAAGAAAATATGTAACTAGATATATAATAAAACACTCTACCTTCGTAACATTCAACTCTTGAGCATCATTCTAATTATTATGTAAGAAATAAAATAGAGCAGTTATACATTACTCAATCCTGCTGGTAAAATGAAATCAGCAACCAGCCTGGAAAGGATGAGAAACGTCCAGAAGCTACATCAGCTGCTACTGCTACCCATTAGCTACGTGCATTGTGCACCAAACACTAGACTTGATTTAGACATCAACATCAGACACCGGAACAAGACACCAACCAAAAACAACGTCCTTCCAACAATCACATTCCTACAACGCCTAAGGACATCATTTCCTCATCCGGCAACACCGTAATTGTCGAAAGGGCATATCTCCCTAATATCACCATCAAGGCACACGTATAAGACGGCGGAAAGGCAGGACAAAAATGGACATATAAGCCCTTGGGACCAACTCTCAGTCACGTGGTCAAAAATCCCTTACAAAAAAAGGTTTGTGGAAATCCAAAATTACACGTGCCTCCAGCACAACTTGCGGTTTATCCAGTAAACCAAAGAAACGGATTCCACGCGAAAACTGTAGCCAAAATCCCTTAAGTACAAAGGCGAATCCTAGGACTCAAGCAGGCTTAGCAGCTAAAACGACCATTCAGGCTGAAAGTTGGGGTAGAAAAGACCGAAGAAAGAACTTGAAAGGTTCAATTTCCCCCCTAATGACAAAACTGCCATGTCATGGTCAGAACCAGGGACGACTCGTCTCTCTGGGTCTGTTGCCAAAACTTAAAATAATTTCCATACAGTCCCAAAACACAATAGAACTCTTTAAAATCTCAACTAGTTGTTAATTTCCTCAGCTAAATTGTAATTTACACAGAAAATTTCAATTCATGAATAAAACGAAGAAAACTTGATGTTGCTACAGACAGCAACACAGTAACAATTCTGTGAACTACGCCAATGACTTTGATTTATCGGTGAAACCTTGACCCATTTACTCCAAGCACCTGTGCGACATCCCAAGACCGCTAAATAATAAAAACCGAAGTGTTCGGAGCACACAGCTGTTCAAGATCAAGTTCAAGTGTCAAAATAATAAATCATAACCCAATAATTAACGGATGGTAAACAAAGCACTGGGCCCCAATTTTTAATAAAGGTAAGTATTGAAATTGAATTCTATTTCATCTTAAGTCATCCTTTTACATTTCAGACGCAGTCCCACAAGGAATATTTCCCCAACAAAACAAGAATACAGGAAAACAGAAGCCCCCTGCCAACCTGTCGGAAAATGAATTGTTTATGTCCATGAAATGATTAAAATAAAAGGATATTAATTAAAAACAATCTTAGAGCTTTGGAATACAATATTAAATGAGAATTTATATAAAACTAACAAATTGATACAGTGAATTTTGAACTGTAACATATTGTACACTTTTAACCCTCATCACTGATGTTCTGTCAAAAATTATCACCACCTTATAAAATTTGTTATTAATAATATGTAATAGTCATAACATGTCTTTATTTCAGGTTCAATATAATAGCTATTACAATAATGTAGTTCAACATAGTTGCTCTTCCACACAACCACACACAAATATGCATGTTGATCCCTCTAGCTTAAAGCTCTTTTTTTATCGCAATGGTACCTGTAAAATTACCATAGCACTAAATAATTTTAAAATCTTAAACAATGTATTGGAGAGTATGCCATGCATACATCTAAGAAGCTCAGAGAGCATTATAAATAATCTCGGTAAAAACTATAAGTGGATACGTGGATAGAACACCTAGACATAATAAAAAAACGGGATAAAATAAATGAGAAGCCTAATTCCAAACTGTTCAATCTCCAGTTTGTACAAATTTCCAGGAAGCGAGAAAAACCTCTTAAATTAACATTTTCTTCAAAGTTTGAGAATTTTATACAGGGTGGCTCAAAGTCGAATTTCTAAAATAACATCACCACAGTAAAGGCCACCCAAAAATGCTTCAAGAAAGTAATCTTGATTTTTCTCGATTTCCTAAAATAAAACCTGGAAAAAATAAAAACCAGAATCGCAATTTTCGGAATTTTCCGGCAGTATTGGGTATTTTTCAAATTTTCGGAATCCTCTTCTTGGATTCCTCCCTCTAGCACAAATTTATAAAATTTTAATCTTGGGTCGCTTTTCCAGTCTTCTCCATAAATACAAACAAACGTTCCATACAAAAATAAATCATGTCCTAACCTTCCAATCAAACTTACATTGTCCGTTTTTCCTTTTTTTTCTTCCTTTCTCGAGCCTTTTTGTCACCACTTACAGGTGTTACTTGACCGTTCATCGTTCCAAAATTGATTGTGAAATAAGACTTCTATACTCTTACTGACTTAAGTACCTACAAGCACCACTACATACAAAATTTCTACTAAAAACAACCTTTCTGTTGAACAGGCATCAAAACGTATTCACCATGTGGAGTGGGAGCATGCTGATAATGGCACCAAAAAAAATTGCCGACTCTGAAAATTACTATCTGTAATGTAATATTATGCAGTCGAGATAAGTTAGGTTTTGCTTGAATTGATGAATCAGAAGTTTGTACTGTTTGATTATGAATGGAGATTGTACAGTATATGGAACCGAACCTAATTTTCGACACTAAAAATATGCTTGAGATTGGCGGGTTTGGTATGAATATGTTGCTAAAAATTACATCTAAAACGCCATCTATCTAATTTTGTTGAAAATTGGAGATTGTACCTACACTTTGGAACTCGACCCCTCATATAAAAAGAAGCAAAATCTAGAATATGTAATTGGAGAACGAGTTTAAAATATTAAAGAATAAGGCCAACAATAAATTAAGACTTGAAAAAATATGCAGTACAGGAAAAACTGGAATGAAGCAGGGAGCAACCATAAAGTGTTCGCAAGATATGACTCCAACCAGCGCAAAGCAGAGCCGACTACTCCATAGTTTTTCCTTTTCCAAAATAATCTGATGGTCCTGGCTATCAAAAGCTTTGGACAAGTCCAAGAAAGCTCCAAGAGTGTTTTGCTATCCTCAAGATGTTCGTAATTTTTTTCAATAAATTCAAAGATGGCAGTTTCAATTGATCTGTTTTTTAAAAAACCGTTTTGTGAATGGCTTAGCAGATTAGGCATGAAAAAGAAGTCTAAGAGTTGATTACACATCGCAGTATCAAAGATTTTAGAAAATGAAGGTATAAGACTGATCGGTCCATAATTCTCGAATTTTTTTGTACCTCCTTTTTTTATAAATTGGTATAACCATTGCTTGTTTCAACTTCTCTGGGAAAATACCAAATTGAAAAGAGTTGTTGATAATTAAGCACAGAGGTAAACAAAGTTCTGTACCTTTTTTTATTTTTTAGATTTTTTATTATGTTAAGTACCTCTTCTGGTGATAATTGCTCTAAATTTATATTTGAAAAAAATATTTTGTCCCGGATTATGTTTGCAATTTATTTGGCCTACTGCATTGCTAGCGACATCTAAGAAGAGGTCATAATTGAGGTCATCACAAAACATCTCCAGGTTTCCCTCGAACATATATGTTTTTTGATTTTTGTAACAGCCTTCTATTTTATTCACAACCTGCCAAACAGCTTTTGATTTGTTAGCCGACCTCAAAATATTGATTTGATAAGATAAAACATTTTACGGGAGTTTGTTGAAAGGTTATTATATATCTTTTTTGATGACAGTATGTTTCTTTGTATTTGGAGTAAGTATTACTAAGATCATAAAGTATATCAAGTTGTTTTTTGCACTCAGTGACCTCAGGAGTTGATGCCAAATTATGTTTTCTTTCTCTTTCTTTTTTAAATAGGTTTTTCAGGAAAACTTGCTTCATAAGACAGTAACACATTTTCCATAAAAATTTCACTGTCCATTAATGTCTTCTGGTTTACATCACAGGATATCAAGCCGATTATTTTTACTTAAAAGATTTTTGTGGTCCTCGCTAAAGATCTATAAAGATGATCCCCTGCCTAGTAAAAATCTGCCAAAAAGGGGCGGCAGGGCCGGCAGGAGTGGTAATAAGGAGAGAATTCCATGATTGCAATTTCATAGCTGCTCTCTATTCAAAACTCTTATCATGGTATACAATTGTGCGGTTACAGTGGTTATAAATGATTGTACAATCTCTATTTGATTAAAGAATGTTTTAAAAACGTTTTAGTTTTCACTCAATAAGTATGTTTTCACATGCATCAAGAGAATGATTAAAAACTTTGTGAATCATTGTACAATCATGGTATAAGTAAATAATAATACATGTAGATACGACAATGGTACCAAAATATGCTTCTGGTTTAACTTTGAATGCATCATTGGAGGCATTAATATTTAATCATGTATGGATTATGTATCTATACTGGTTAGCAAATAAATAAAATAAATAAATATTGTCACTAAATTGC